TCTATCACCTTAGCTCGAAGCTCTGACAAAGATACACATAAATCTGTATTTTCTTTTTCTAATTTATCATTCTTGTTGCTCAGCACCAGCTTTTCCTTTTTCAAATCACTAACGACTTCTTCTAATGACAGTATAGAGTAAGCTTTAAACTCTTTGATGCTAGATATTTCATTGCTAATGACCTCTAATTTTCGGTTGACAGAATTGGCAAAACACTCCATGTTAGATTTAATTTCATGAATTTCCGAGTTATGTGTGTAATTTGTTTCATTCGGATTAACGGAGGGATTATACATATTAGATCGTAGTGTTTCATTATTCAGGAGACTGTTTCGTGAACCAATATGTAAATTACTATCTTGTGACTTGAGAGTGGAATGCAAATTACTGTACTTTGAACTAACCGAATCTGTAATGACTTTGTCGCTCGAATTACTGTCGAAATATAAAAGTTTTTCTTTAATTTCTTTTGCCTTATTCCCTTTTATCGTTAAAGTTCCAGAGTTTATGTACCAGTATATTACAACATCGCTGTTCTCAAATTGTTTACACTGTCCCCTCGGTGTAGTCCACTTCCCTGGCTGTAGTTGTAGCTGTTCAACAACATGACAAAGGCCCTCATAATCGCTTCGCCATTTCAGACTTCCTTTCTCCGTGACGAAAAGTCTACGTAAGTTTGAAGGAGCTTCGTTTTGATCTTTATTTTCACCTTGATCTTTATCACTTGAATGCTGTGAAAAAATGTCCAGCGATTCCAGCTCAAATCTGCTTTCATTGGTAGACTGTTCGCCGTCGTGTTCAACAACCTGAGATGTTGGGTTCTGTATTTCGGTTGTATTTCCCTCTGATTCTGATATATTTAACTCTGAACATATAGATTGACTATCAAAGTCAGTCATTATGCTTTGTGAAACGAAATTGTTCGAAATACAACTTGAAATTTTGATAAATACGGATAATTTTTCACACAAGCGTCACCACGGTCTCGTCTCGGTCTGCTGATCTAACACGCTTTAGTGCACCGATAGCAGATGCAACTTTCTTACATATAGTTTATCAATATATGATCATGCCAAGTAAGATGTTTATCAATATAAAGTCCCAAGGATTTCACCGATTCAACCCTAGTTATTTCGTTTTCGTTGATTCTAATATTTATTTCGCTATCTATGGACCTTAATTTTTGCTGAGATCCTATTACCATAAACTCCGTTTTAACAATATTTAGACTTAATCTATTAGTAATAAGCCAGCTATTAAGCTTTTTTAATTCAGAGTTTATTACATTTTGGAGCTCACCTGTTGTGTTTGCTGAATAACTTATACTCGTGTCATCAGCAAACATTCTAGGTATAGCATGATTCAAGCAATTTGGAAGGTCATTTATATAGATCAGAAAAAGTATGGGCCCCAGGTTACTACCTTGGGGAACACCACAAGTCACCGGGGCAGAATTTGACAATTGGTCGTTAACACGGCATTTTTGAGTTCGGTTGGTAAGATAAGATAATTGTTAGAACTTATATAGAAGGCCGATAGCGCTTTATATATACTGTGCAAAAATTGAGCGAACAAGTACGATCGTACTACTTCATGGGCATGCAGAAATTACTGGTCGTGGTGTTAATCCATCGTTTAAAACTTAAACTTTTGCATTGTTTCGCGAGGCATTTTTTTAAATATGTTAAAATGATCGAACGAAACACTGGTCAATTAAATTGTTATCGAAGGGTAGGCGTTTTATATTGGCAGCGTTCGACCCCTTAAATACATGCATGCAAATGTGAAATGACGTGTACTTTGAGTCCTTTAAGGGTTTCTCAAAAGGGCTTACTTTGAGAGGGGAATATTTATCATTTATAGACCTGGAACTAGGGGGATTCGGCGTAATATTTCCCGAAGTGATGATATTTTCCGAGGGGCTTTGGGCTTTGCATGCCCCGAGGAAAATATCATCACTGAGGGAAATATCGCCGAATCCCCCGAGCGGAGGGTCTATAAATGATATATTATACCGAAAGTTAAAGAACTCACTAAGTTCAGAATAAACTTTAAAACTTGCTGAATATTATTATTAACTACGCGAATACAATTTTTAATTTCTTATGTAGCCTATACCTGAGATTTTGACGTTTCCTTTTAAAATATTTGAGCATGTATCCTTTGGATCATTAAAGGTAACATACGTCTTGAAAATATTTGGTTAAATCAAATCTTCTGTACCAAATTACAAACAACAGCTCGCGAACGCCATATTGGCCCATATTGTTTCAGAGCGTGGTGTCTACGTGTCCACGCGTCACGCGTGAGCGTGGGATACTACAATGTCGGTGGATTTGCCGTGGGATATAGTATCTCACGCTGCATTGCGAAATCATAATTTGAGTGATATATCGTGGTACAAATACTCTTTTTTTATTGGAAAATTTAAATTTGAAGTATAACATATAGAGAGCATATTTGACTTACTCGTGACCCTGATTTTTATGTTAGGGTATGATTCTTGAGATCCAGGTAACACAAATGCAACAGCGTAAATGAGTGTATCGTTGCCAAGGTCAAGTTCCACATACGGATTATCGGAGATGGTCGTCTTCGCGCATTCGGAGTCATCATCCTTAAAATTCCCATCAGTGACCATTGACGCAACCTGACTGCCTTCTGTCGATGATTGAGTTGCGGCCTTACCAAGTGATAAAAACCAACGGTGTGGATCTGGGAAGAATACTAATGGGTGAGTTTGCAGGGTTATATTACTATCGTTTGTGACGGAAGCTCTGGGCAAACCTGGAAACATTGTTTCCTAGCCATGTTTCCTGAAGATGGGCAAACCAGCAAACATTGCATTGTTTCATTGCAATGTTTCTAGAAGGTGGACAAGCCATGTTTCCCAAAAGTAGTTTAAACCAGGAAACATTGTTTCCTAGCCATGTTTCCCAAAGGTGGACAAACCAGGAAACATTGTTTCCTAGCCATGTTTTCCAAAGGTGGATAAACCAGGAAACTTGTTTCCTAGCTATGTTTCCCAAAGTGGACAAACCAGGAAACATTGTTTCCTAGCCATGTTTCCCAAAGTGGACAAACCAGGAAACATTGTTTCCTAGCCATGTTTCCCAAAGGTGGACACACCTGGAAACATTGTTTCCTAGCCATGTTTCCCAAAGGTGGACACACCTGGAAACATTGTTTCCTAGCCATGTTTCCCAAAGGTGGACAAACCAGGAAACATTGTTTCCTAGCCATGTTTCCCAAATGTGGACAAACCAGGAAACATTGTTTCCTAGCCATGTTTCCCAAAGGTGGACAAACCAGGAAACATTGTTTCCTAGCCATGTTTCCCAAAGGTGGACAAACCAGGAAATATTGTTTCCTAGCCATGTTTCCCAAAGTGGACAAACCAGGAAACATTGTTTCCTAGCCATGTTTCCCAAAGTGGACAAACCAGGAAACATTGTTTCCTAGCCATGTTTCCCAAAGGTGGACACACCTGGAAACATTGTTTCCTAGCCATGTTTCCCAAAGGGACAAACCAGGAAACATTGTTTCCTAGCCATGTTTCCCAAAGGTGGACACACCTGGAAACATTGTTTCCTAGCCATGTTTCCCAAAGGTGGACACACCTGGAAACATTGTTTCCTAGCCATGTTTCCCAAAGGTGGACAAACCAGGAAACATTGTTTCCTAGCCATGTTTCCCAAATGTGGACAAACCAGGAAACATTGTTTCCTAGCCATGTTTCCCAAAGGTGGACAAACCAGGAAATATTGTTTCCTAGCCAAGTTTCCCAAAGGTGGGTAAACCAGGAAACATTGTTTCCTAGCCATGTTTCCCGACGGTCTTACCGTTGTTTGAACTCGATAAAATTATCCGACACAATCCAAATAGAATCAGAACGAATAAGAACTAGAAAAGAAAACAACATTTTACATTTTGTATATCATGCATAAATTATACAATGAGCTAATTACGCATTTAGCTTGCTCTGCTCGGCAAAGCAAGTTTTCTAATTCTCATCCAATTTTCATCCAAATTTAACCAAAATTTAATCAATTTGTCCTTGGGCAATGTCCATTAGTCCAACAAAATTTCGTATTAAGAGGAGATTTTTTTGTATGTTACGTAACACGCGCTCAAAACTAAATTAAATGCGTATAATATATACCACTTGAGGTTATGACTAAATTCAAAATTTTTATTTTCAGGATACGTTTCTCAATCGGCAAACAAACTTAAAAAGTATGTTTAGCGCTTTATCTGTAAAACAATGCTAAAATGAAGAGATTTTAGATGATACGCCAAAGAGAAAATGATGTCTGAAGTTCAGTAAGTTTTGCTTATATATGGCTGTAAAAATAGCGTCAATTTTAAAGCATCATTGATAATTGTATTTTAATTGACAATTTTTAACTATTATTTTATGTTTCTCAACCGGCAGATGCATTTAAAAAGGTAGCTAACTATATAAACTAGAGAATTGACCATTTGCGTAATAGACAAAATTTTGATCTATTAAACAAGTCTAGACAAAAATTTCATCACAGCTTGAAAGAGCATCACAAAATTAGTAATATTCCAAAGTTTCGTTGCGAAATGTTGTAAAATGCGGATAATATAGCCTTGCGAAGTTTGCAATTTTCAGTCACATTTTAGATTACAAACGGGAAATTGAAAGCCTCAAAGCGTATATCGGGCTGTCAATTTCCCGTTTGTAATCTAAAATGACTGAAAATTGCAAACTTCGCAAGGCTATATTATCCGCATTTTACAACATTTCGCAGCAAAACTCTGGAATATTACTAATTTTGTGATGCTCTTTCAAGCTGTGATGAAATTTTTGTCTCGATCAAAATTTAGTCTATTACGCAAATGGCCATGAGACCGTACGTGAATAGGCAAACCTCAAAATTTCAGAACTTAGCACAACAACAAATTCTATTGAGACAACCCGTCAATTTAATCGATATATTATATACAAGCGTAATGCAAGTCGATAAAGAGACTGCATGAAGGTTCAACAAGCTGCGTCGAGTGGTATACACTGACAAGACAAGACAAGACAAGACAAGACAAGACAAGACAAGACAAGACAAGACAAGACTTTATTTATACACTCTTGAATCAAATTACAATTATTTAAAAAAGGAAATTGATAGAAATTATTTGAGCGTATAGACTACCTGGAATAACAATTTATAGCTAAAATTATAGCTAAAGTGGGAAACTGCTTCGAAGTAGGCGGGAACATCATGCTTCATGTAATTGAGAAATGTATGGATGATAATTGTCCACAATTTTCTAATAATTATATATTTCAATTTTACTAAAAGTGTATCTCTGGCTGTCACCAGATGCAGTGATCTACTTTATCTGCCTACAAGGTCAGAATAGAGACAGCGAATCGAAGTTTAAAATTTATCACAATGGTTGTAAAATTTATAAGAAATTCAAGCAATGATTTTTAGAACTTAATTTCTAGTATTTACCTTAATATAACTGTTTATGGCCATTATAAAGTATCGTTTTAACTTGCAATGTGGTAATTTTGCAAATCTTAAAATCAGAGCTCCTGTTGATGGTGACATGTTTTTGTCGCTGATAGGACTATACTTTGAATAAATAAAGGTGTCTAGCTATCTATCATTTCATCACTGATCTTATATATAGCTTATAGGTACTGTTGGTAGGTACTGTTCTATCCGCTCAGACTCATTAATAATTAATGAGTATAATAGCCAACCATATTGCTTTATTTTACTCACATGATTATACTGGATACTTGGTGAAGTACATTGATCCATAGACTTGGATCAAGTCCGTCTCTCAAGAGTCCGAGGGATCGGACGCGCGTGGTGCAATCTCGCGCGCCGATCTTAGCGGCACGCTCGATCTCGTTGCTTCGCGATTCGGACTCCAGAGAGACGGACTTGATCCAAGTCTAATTGATGCAGTCCTAGAACTGAATCAAAATTAATTCAGTCCTTGGACTGGATCAAAATTAATTAAGTAGTGATTTATTCGTATGAAATATCATTTCAAATCCTCCAATTCGGACACTAGATTTCAAGTCCTCACATTTTGATCCAGTCCTCGGCTTCGCCTCGGACTTGATCAATTTGCGCTGCCACTTGAAATCTAGTCCAGTCCTCAAAATCGGATTTGAACTATTACGTCAAACACTGTGATAGAGACTGTTTAACATCGGTAACAGTGGTACAAACTTTTCTAAGTTCTTTATAGAGTGCGCCGTATTGCCTCGCAATTGTGATGAGTAATTAAATCGTTATACCTTATTAATTATTAACATAATAAACACGCTAACTCGGACAATTTTTTCAATATAAATATACCGCTGGGTTTCGGTTCCCTGAAACCAAAAAAACGGGAATAAAAAAGAAAACGGAAAAAAAACCCGAAAAAAAAACAAAAAAAAAAACCCGGAAAAAAACGGAAAAACGGAAAAACGTCGGAAACTTAACTGTTTGAAACCGCAATAATATTAAACAAAATGGCAGTGATTCCACATATTTTTACAAAATTGTGTAGCATAGTTCGATCACAGCGTTAGTTCAACGTTTTCTGACGTGAGAAGACGTGAGAAATAGCACGCCTAAATTAAGGCCGACACACACCGTACGCAATTCGACAATTGGCAATTTCGCGATTTTTCAGTTTTTGAAAGCACATGCATAAAACAGCCAGTAAAAGGAAATTTTAAACGACTTGTAGACTCCAAATAACTGATACTGATTATTGTTATTATAAATATTTGAAAAACTTAAACCATGGATCAAAGTTATACGTGAAAATAAAAAAAATCGCACCTCGAAAAAAGTGAAAATGAAAAACTAAAAAAAAGTGAAAATCAAAAAAATGAAAATCGAAAATTCGCACCTCGTTGTCGAATCGCGTCCGTTGTGTCCCGATCTCAAGGGTGGGTTGACTACAAAATTTTTGTAGTTCGCTATAACTACAGCTACTTCAAAAATATGTAGTCAGCTACAACCACTAGCTGCTACTTTTGAACAAAGGTAGTTCGCTACTGACTACAGCTACTGCTTAAAAAAATGTAGCGAACTATTTCGCTATTTCGCTACGCTATATTTTTTAGTTTTACTGTATTTGGAGCATCTACTACTAACTCAGGTTGAAATGTAACCTATAACAAATCGACTTACGAGTAGCAACAGTAAACACATTAAAGCAACATGTTTGTAAGAACTGTACAGTGTTCAAGAGTGTAAATTGACTATTGAGTATTGATTTTAAGCAAACCGTGTCTCAATATCATGCTATTCTATCAAGTTGCTAACATTTTTAAAAAGTAGCGAATAGCGATTTGCTGTTTGAAAAGTAGTCAACTACTTGGCTACTTTTAGGCAAAATGTAGTTCGCTATAACTACATGCAGCTACTGTTTTAAAAAAGTAGTCAAAAACTACTGGCTACTTGAAAATTGTAGTTCGCTACAGTAGCGAACTACAACTACTTCGCTACTACCCACCCTTGCCCGATCTTAACGGTGGCTTACCGCTTACATGTTAAACTAGGTTACCTAAAATGTAGTAAATGCTGCCTTTAAGAAGCACACGTCAAAAACGTTTTAAAATACTGTCTATAGTGAATGTAAATCAAAGATGTGTTATCGCATATACTATATATTATTAGTACCACGATTGTTTTTAAAACTTAATTGAACGTGTAGCCGTGAAGTTTAATCGGTTTTTACCCTGAACCGCCTCACCTTACAGTTTAGAACTGACATATAACTATCTCATGAAGTTGAATCATGATTATATTTACAGTTAAAATCTATTCATACAGCAATGTATACATCTTTAAATATACCTGGGTAAGTGATTGTTGACTTGTCATGGTATTTTGCTATACGAATTTCCGCCTTTATCGTATTGTTGATTATTGAACTACACATGAAAACACATAACTTTATAGCTGATTGAAGTATGTTTGCAGTGCCAGCTGTATCTTTCCAAACGTTTTCCAAACTGTTTGCAAGTTTGTATCAAGTACCTGGCAACCTGACTCGCATTTCGTAGCCACCTGTAGACCACATTTGTTTTGAAAGCTAGCGTATTTCAGAATCAACCAAACTCTATATATATACTTACATGTATTTTTCAAGGACAAGGAATCTGCCCACGAAACTATACGCAAATCCATGCCTCGACAAGCAGGCTCCATTGGCTATTTTCAAATGTCAGGTGCCAGATTGTTTGGGTTAGCCGCAAATCAACCTGGGTACGAGATTATCAACCTCGTACCCAATCTCGAAACCAGAGCCCGCAATCCTCTGTGGAGGCTTGCTGAGGCTCTGGGAAACACCAGCGAAAGTCGGGCTCTGATTGGTTGTTTTTCAAGTGCTAATTATTATTCAAACTTCGAGCCGTATTTAGTGATTCAAATTTCAAACATCGTTTAAAGGTGCCCTACAGTCCGTATGTAAACAAAGCCTTTGGTTAAAGCAAAATTCGTATAAATGTTTGTCTTCCCTGGCGGTTGTATATTCACAATTCATTCCTACGACGAGCGACCTTGATAATACCACTGCTCAGATGATAGTAACTGTAGTTATTTCTTGGACCATAACTTCGTGGAAATTCTTTCTTTGTGGCTGTATTCATTTCGCATATCTTCTCTTTCTGGGAAAAATTGAAAGACTTGCATCGCGTGTCAAGTTGACACATAACCAAGCATTGATAGGATTTAGCGACTTCGGTTTCGGTTTGGAAAATCTTGTCAGATAAAGCGTAGTTTGGTACTGCGGATGAAATTGCTGGGTGTTGGCCATTCGTGCTTATTGCGGCTGAAATTGAAATAATAATTATACTTTGATATAGAAGTATATTTTGAATAAGTTTTCAGGTCTTCGAATTGGGATCGGTAGTCGGCAACTACCGACCTAATTCTGACTTACTGTCATGTTAGGTCGGCAAAAACTAACTTGCCAAAGTGCTCAATGGAAAACCAGAGCATATTTAAGTTAAGATACAACAAATCAACAAAGTCCACTTGGCATCACAAGCCATACAAACCGGTGTTTGTCATAATTTCTCAACAACAGATCGGGGCTCATCTCATTTAAGCATGATCGAGGGTATTTTTGCTGCACAGTAACTATATAGGTCACCACCAAATCCACCTAAATCCTATATTTTAACAGCAGAAACTCACCAGGTTCAAAACAAAATTTGTATTTGGTTGTGCTACGAAGACTTGCAAAATGATAAATATAATACGCGGTGCATCTTCGGATATCGACGTCAAATGTCGCCGCACAGTCGTGAGTAGTATTCCTTAAACATAATATTCCACTAACGATACCGTCTTGGAGTTTTGGATGTTTTCTCTTCAACCACAGTTGACATGAAGCGGTAGGCTTGGGTGCTTTTTCTCTGAACTAAAAATATCAAAAGATGTATGGGACTACATGTTGAAGAGTTTGTATGGAATGAAATTTGGAGAGTAAATTTGAGATGTCCAAGCTCTTGATATTTACCCATACACTTTACACAGGCATCCCTTAATATGATAACATGGCCTTGCAGTTAAAGTTCGACATGACTGTCGCCTCTGTAGCTCACTTGGTTAGAGCGCTACAGCAGAATTGCAGGGCCGACTGGGCAGAACATCGTAGGTATACTGTTTCAAAGTTTTGCTTTTATATAACGAAGCACGAGTTTTTATAGTAATCTTGATTATGTTTTATAATAAGGTGGAAGTTATTTTCGTCGTAGTTACGTGATTTAGAGTTGCATTTTTTGTAACAGCTCCTGGTCAGGTCTAATAATTGCATAAAATTAACACTCGAAATTTTCATCTGCAAAATCGGATGTTTATTCGGTTAGCCAATATAATCCGCTTGACCGCACATTTCTGCCCTTTAATCCGCTTTACCGCACATTTCTGCCCTTTAATCCGCTTGACCGCACATTTCTGCCCTTTAATCTGCTTGACCGCACATTTCTGCCCTTTAATCTGCTTGACCGCACATTTTCTACTAATCCGCTTGACCGCACATTTCTGCCCTTTAATCCGCTTTACCGCACATTTCTGCCCTTTAATCTGCTTGACCGCACATTTCTGCCCTTTAATCTGCTTGACCGCACATTTTCTGCCCTTTAATCCGCTTGACCGCACATTTCTGCCCTTTAATCCGCTTTACCGCACATTTCTGCCCTTTAATCTGCTTGACCGCACATTTCTTCCCTTTAATCTGCTTGACCGCACATTTCTTCCCTTTAATCTGCTTGACTGCACATTTTCTACCTTTTAATCCGCTTTACCGCACATTTCTGCCCTTTAATCTGCTTGACCGCACATTTCTGCCCTTTAATCTGCTTGACCGCACATTTTCTACCCTTCAATCTGCTTGACCGCGCATTTTCTGCCCTTTAATCTGCTTGACCGCACATTTTCTGCCATTTAATTAATCTGCTTGACCGCACATTTTCTGCCACTTAATCTGCTTGCCTGCACATTCTCTGCCCTTTAATCTGCTTGACCGCACATTTTCTACCCTTCAATCTGCTTGACCGCGCATTTTCTGCCCTTTAATCTGCTTGACCGCACATTTTCTGCCATTTAATTAATCTGCTTGACCGCACATTTTCTGCCACTTAATCTGCTTGCCTGCACATTCTCTGCCCTTTAATCTGCTTGACCGCACATTTTCTGCTTTTCTAAAAGCGATTAGCGGAACTTCTGCCGTTAGCTGCGCGTGTCGATTTCTTGAAGCGATTTAATTAATTTGTGAGCTCACGAGAAAATTCTCAGAATGCTGTAGTTATTAAATATCATGGTTAAATATGTCGAGGTTGTTATACCGCCATACTTTCAAATATACCGTACTTGAACAAGCACATTTAATATACTGCGCTGCAGCAACTGTCCAGTCACGCATACGTGATAAACTTTATAACCAAACGATAATGTGAAACGTAACAGAACGGCGAACATACAGATTCGGCCATCTCAAATAATGGCAATGTTGGGATAGTAGGGTTGCAGACTGCAGAGGAGAGTGGGCAGAAAGGCTCGTGCATCACCTCATGGAAAACCTGCACCCCTTCTTGCAGATGAGGCTAGATTCGCCCCTGCTAAATACCCAACAATTACTTCATGATATTTACCTGAAGATATTTCATTTGTTTCTCATCGTATAAACTATACCATTGGTTGCCTCGGATTTCAAAATCTTCAACCACAGTTGTTGTTTTCAAATCAAATTTCATTTCTGTGTGATCGGCACAGATACGCCACTTGCCTGGGTTCAGAAATATAAAAATATTGTCAACTACACACGTAAAAATCTCACAACTTCTCAACAAGATGTGTTCGCAACAGGCTTATAGCAAGCTTATCAACAAGTTGCAACAATCATAGTCTATCGAGATTTGATGGTCTGGAAACTGAACAGAAGTCACCGTATTATGTTTTTGTCGGAGTTTATGTTAATTTGGGGTAGCTGAGATGAAACGTGCAACTACGATAAATAATATTTAATGAATTTGAGACAAAGGACTTGTGCACAGTGAGGTACAACAGTTCAAAATCATGTTTGGCAAAAGCCATCTATTTTGTGACTTTGAAGTTTGCGGGGATTCCAGACTATCATACATTAATAGACTATGTGACAATGCTGTTATTTTATCAAAGTTGTCACTCAAAACTTGATTGTTGACAAATTGATCAAGATACGCGTTTTTATGTATGCTCTTTCAATACAAAATTAATAGAAAAAACTAAAAGTAAAGTCTTAGTACAGGGAAGTTTTATCTGAATAAATGCATTAACCCATTAAGCTGCGGAGCTTTCCTGTTGACGAGTAAGATCGTCTGGCGTTAGACAAGTAACAAAAAATAAGTAGGGCGCACTGGGGCGCATTGCGGCTCAATGGCTTAATAAAAAGCTTTGAGCGCTGTTAAAAAGCTTTTTTGTAATTTTTAATCCGGTTTTCAAGAATACATATTCATGTTGGCGGATTGACCGAGTTCTTTGCATGCATAAAAAGATTGGGACTAGTCTTCAAATTTGGCCTCAAATTTTCGGTTTTCACTTGTTTCCATCTACCAAACTGACATTACGTCATTTGAACAATTTCTAAAGTTGTTTCTTTTTGGATTTTTTATTAATTTGATTAGGGTTAGGGTTAGAGTTCCGGTTAGGGGTTAGAGTAGGGGTAGAGTTTGGGTTAGTTACATAACCATTTAACACCATCTTCCGAAAATGACGTCACGGTAGTTTGGTAGATGGAAACAAGTGCTGACTCAAATTTTCGGTTGGAGGTAGCGTTCCATTTATATTCAATTCAATGTTACTTACTGGCGACTCTGAGCTTCACTAGCATTGCATTGTAACCAAGAGTGTTATTTCCCCAACATTCGTAAGTACAGCTTTCATTTTGCTTTACATGAAGTAATGTCAAGCTACGTGAACCAGTAGCGACCACCGTCTTATTTTTTACCCATGAGAACACGGGGGCAGGATAGCCATTGATGTCACATGACAGTGTCACGTCTTTGTACTCTTCAACCCAGACGTATTTATTGTTTCTATTGTAGTCGATTACAGCGAAAAGATAATTGATAATCGTTAGGCCCGCTCAAACGTTGGCGAGAGTTGAGAAGCGAGAGTTTGCATGAGAGTTACCTCAACTCTCGTGCCCTGGTCAAACGAGAACAAGAGTTACACGAGAATTACTGTCGATGCAATTGAAGTGTTGATAAAATATTGCACCAATTCCTTTCCTCAAGTTGATCAATTCATTTGATAGAAAATTTATCAACTTCCTGTTACTTTTTAGAATTTAGATCAGCCAATTAGATTTCGTTTCAGAACCGATTGACCAATACGAACGCACAAGAAGTGAAAAGAAATTTGAATTCGTATGTATTGATCAACTTGAGGAAATGAATTCATGCAATGTTTTATCAACACTTCTATTGCATTGACAATAATGAGAGTTGACTGGATATAAAACCTTGGTCAAACAAAAATGAGAGTTGAGAAGCCAGAGTTTACATGCGAATTTTCTCATCTCTCATGCCCCGGTCAAACGAGCTAGAGCAACAGTTGCATGAGAGTTGATGAAAGTTGATCGACTGGATATCAAATCTTGGTCAAACGAAAGTGAGAGTTGAAAAGCGAAAGTTTGCATGAGAGTTTTCTCAATTCTCATGCCCCGGTCAAATGATGAGAACAAGTGTTGCATGAGAATTGAAATAGGGCTGACGGAAGATAGACGTTATAACCAGTCAACTCTCATGCAACCTTTGTTCTCGTTTTGGTCATGAAAAGAAAATGTTGTGGAAATGGTGTTTCCCCAAATGTTTTCATATTTGCCGACCCTCAATAATATAGAGTGTTTGCACTCATTCCCCAGGGACCAACTCAACAAAGCCATGGCGGCCATATTTGTGTTCCAGACAAAAGAGTCTATTTAAAATTCTTTTGAATTGGAACACCAACATGGCGGCTGTGACGTCATGTGCACACAAACACTGTTTTTCGCTGTGGGTCATGAGAGGTGACTTTCGTGCAAACTCACGTGCAAACTCTCTTCAACTCTCACCTTCGTTTGAGTGAGACCTATGGGAGGAACCGAAGAGAAAAGGGTTGGAAGACTAAAAAGCAATGTCAACAGTCATATGTCAATACAAATATGTAAATCAATCAATCAATCAGAGTCACTATCTTGATCATTTTCAGACTTTTCAGGAGGCAAATGATGTCTCCAAAGAAAGTACATGTGAAAGACAACATGAAACTTTAGACTGCAGAAAATTGCAAAAGCTGTTATCAAACTCATGTCACAGAAGTGGTAAAGGACATGTGTGACAACTGAATGGTATCCTTTTTGTAAAATTTTTGGTTCGCGGGAGGGAGGGATTTTTTAGTTGATATTTGAGGTTGAGTAAAACATTTTCTTACTTTTTAATGGTTGGATCAGCAAAATGTTTACCAAGAAAAAACATTTCTCTTCGGTCCCAACCCTAACCATAAACGTATCATGGCGGAGGTATATATTGCTTGACTGAGATAGGTCGCGCTATTTCATCTGATATGTGCGCTAGGCACTTACGTTTAGTTTTTTCAAAAGCAAGAATTTCAGACATCTGCATCTGACGTTCCTTGTCATATTGATGTATATGAATGTACTTGGTCAATGTTCTTTCCACACAGAAGAAGTGGTATCCAGCGAAGAGTGTCAAGTCGTGTAAACCAGGAATACAGTGTTTTTGCAGTGTGAAATCTTCGCTTAATCCTGTTGAGATAAATTTGATTTATGATTTATTTAAAAAATTTAGACTGTCCAATTACAAGGACAAGGTTGAAATACATCTATCATATACATTCTACCATCAGATCACATTAACAACTTAGATCCCATTTAAATTATAAAGAAAATAGAAGATAAAAGATGTCTTGGGAAATAAAAAGAAAACAAGGCGAAAATGGAAGAAAATTTGGAAAGGTTAACCAAATTGTAGCTGTTTGGCAATTATGTATCATGTTTCTTTGTGCAATGGGTCCTATACTTCGTCTTCGAGAACTGTAATAACTCTGGATTGAGATGGGATATGAAAAAACTGTAACCACCATTCTTCATCACTTGAAGGGTGCTTTCTACTAAAGCAGTAAAATTAAGGCAAACAATTCATGTCATTCTGAGTATTTTCTCGTGAGCTCACGAATCAATGAATTATTTCATAAAATCGACACGCACTAACAGTAGACTTTTAGACTTTATTCAAAATTTGCACAATTATACATGCATACATATTAATACAACAGATACACAGTTACTACACAACTTACACAAAAAAGGAAATTAAGGTACAATGATTACAAGTAAATTATCGTGCGCAGTGATCAAAGTAGCCAGATTCTATCTGAAGCTTTCGAGTTGATCACTGCCTATAACTAATATTAATTTATGAATTTAGAGCGAAACGGATTTATATGCATTTATATACAATGGTTCTTAATTCTTATTATTATTGTAACTAAATTTGTGAAAGAAGTAAAGACTGAGTGTATTTTTTTTAAATATAGCGACTGAGTTAGACAACTTAATTTCAAGATCTATAGTTTGCCATATTTGAGATGAAACAAAGTTGAAAGTATGCACACCATAATTTGTTCGGACTTTTGGTCTACTAATCGCTATTCAAAAAGCAAAAAATGTATGGTCAAGCAGATTTTTTGGGTGGTACCAGGGTGGGGGGGGGGGGGTGGGCACCCCCTGCCACCCCACAATAGATCTATCCCTGCTGTAATTTTTGTTCGTGCAACCAAACAAATGCGAAGTCAAACTTACCCAATTTGAGCTCAATTTGCATGAGTACTTCAGTGATAATATAAATCATGACAATATTGAATTCTCCAGCCAATTCTACTCTTAGTGTTTTCTCTTGTACTATGCCACCTCTAGTGATGAACCAATACCTATTAATGTCCGAATCAATCACTCTATCCGGCCATCTTGAAGTTCTATGTTGGGTATTTGAAATCGCAGCTTTGCCTGGAACATTTTCTGTAAAATAAAAACAATAGACCGTTATGACGTTTTGAGTAAATTTCAATGTTACTTTAGCCCCCTACAAATACCAGAAATGGGCTGGTCAGCTGCACCTTCCTCCTAAAATATTTTCCAACCTCCCCACCCCACACCCCCGCCCCCTAGACTTCCACTAAAATCCGGCCTTGTAAAAAATTAAAAAGAAATACTTCTTACCAGCATTATTTGTGTTCACAAACACCTCAGCAATGAATATAGAGGCCACTACTCCTGGTCGATGAATGATGACTATCTGACCAAACATGTCGCAGTAGAATGATCTGCCCTCTCCAACATATAAATTTGCAATTGTACATAATGGATTGTCGTTAATTATCGAGGCACTTCCTAAATCAGATTAAATAAAAGTATTGTATTGAAGATTGTATGATGTTGCTGTTCTTGTTGTTGCTGTTAGGGCTCTTGCTGTTATTTGCTGTTGTTGTTTGCTGTTGTTGTTTGCTGCTGTTTTTGCTACTGTTGTTGATACTGTTGCTGCTGTTGCCAACAGCGCCTGTTGTTGTTGTTGCTGCACTGTTGCTATTACTTTTGCTATTGTTGGTGCTATTGCTCTTCCTATTGTTGTTGCTGTTGTGCTTGCTACTGTTGTTGCTGTTGTTCTCTTGCTGCTGTTGCTACTGTTGTTGCTGTTGCTCTCGCTACTGTTGCTGTTTTTGTTGCTGTTGGTACTGTTGTTGTTGTTGTTGTTGTTGTTGTTGTTGTTGTTGTTGTTGTTGTTGTTGCATCAATGATAAGATTTGGCATCACCAAAGTCTAATATTTTGCTACAATTTTTAATATTTTGATAATATTTGCCATGATATTACGATATATGGCTTTGTTGTTGTTGTTGTTGTTGTTGTTGTTGTTGTTGTTGTTGTTGTTGCATCAATGATAAGATTTGGCATCACCAAAGTCTAATATTTTGCTACAATTTTTAATATTTTGATAATATTTGCCATGATATTACGATATATGGCTTTCACATAAACGCATTCACCATAGATATCTTATATACACTAGATAGTGTATCTAATTAATCTGCAATTCAAAAATTGAAGCCGTGATTGCAGTCTCAGGTCGTTCCCATGAAATGGGAAGATTCGTATGTTGGCCATTTCTTAAACAGGGAACTTAAACATTAAGTTAAATCTATTCCAAATACATTTTCAATCTATTCAAATGATGAAAGAGTATTGTTGTTTTTAAGCGTTTATTAGCAAGTGGGAACGACCAACATGGCCGCCATCTATTCAAATGGGGGTAACCGCTGGAATATTCTTGGCTTCAACTCTACTAAAAGAGATGCGCTATCTAGTGTATATAAGATATCTATGGCATTCACATGCATAAATAGTTTAATTATAAAAGTTCATATCAAAGTTCATATAGTCCATCACATTTGCCCGACATAATTATTGCAACTCACATAATTATTGCAATTGCATTTGCCAGGCATAATTATTGCAATTGACTGTCAGTTGTAAATTTACCTTTTACTTATTCATTGCGTATATAGTATGATAGTGATAATCTGCGATTATTGACGGTTTTTAACTACTAGCATGGTTTTAGGAGGGGTACTTCTTTTGAATGTTTAGCTGAGGATACCCTATAATTTATCATTTTTTTATGAGTTCTGTCTTACTAATTTTTTAAAAGGTGTGGGGAGGGAAGTGGAGGGGGGGGGGGCAGGCAGGGGAATCGAACATGATGCCACGGAGTACATATACAGATCGAAATTAGATTTCTTGTCCCGGAACCTTTAATGTTGGCGCAACTGCCGCCATGTTCCTAGCTAGTGCACTAAGGAGTGATCTGGCTACGGAACATGGCAACTGCATAATGATTAGTAGTAGTATAGTAGTAGTGGTAGTAGAACATTATTAGAGACCTTAAGATTGACGTTTACGGCAAACGTCAAACCGCTAGCGAAGTTTTTGATTTTACAACTCTATTATTATAGCTTTTACACCAGTTTTGAAATATGTTAGACTTATTAAACTTGTGCT